AAAAAAAGTTAATACTGAGGCTAAATAGTTTGCTTTTATTTTATTAGTTTTCTTACCGGCTACTGAAATTTTCTAGTGAAACTTAAATATGTACTTATAGTTGAATATATGTAATTTGGTTATGATTCAAAACAACAATTTTATTACGTGTGTCAAGTTATCACTATATTTTTCTAAATTTAAAAAGTTAAATAAGTTTTTCTTTCCACAACAAACTTACAACAAAAAAGTTACAATTAATGCCGTATTTAACTTTTAAATGAGTTGAAATAACGCATTATATAACAGTTGTGCATGTACATAACAGTTGTGCACAAAATAAAAGGAGTCAAAATATCGCATTCCTATTATTTCGTGGACCACTCTAAATAATATCGGGTAGATATTTCCAATCAATTTATAATGTCGATACCCCAGTTATTTCAATGTCTACATGCATTCAGAGTACATAAAATGGTGAACAATTTGTTAAGTCATTAAAAATATGTTTGCTTTAAATTTGTAGAAAAACATATCGTCACCTGAAACTCAAAAAGACGTAACAAAAATCATTGTTAAAATGCAAAAAGTCATAACTAATAAAAAATTCAAAATTTACTTTTTGATTTATATAATGGATTTCAACGAGTTACAACTTCCCACATCATTTTATGAAAAAAATAATGAAAATATTAGTCACGACTTTTTCAATCTCATTTACGATATTGTTACGTCTTTTTGCATTTCAGGTGACGATATGTATTTACTTATTTGGTACTTATTCAATAAGTGTCAGGGTGCCGGTAATGTTGTGGTATGATCCTTCTTTGTTATCAAACTGGTTCTTTAATTGACTTAATGCGCATTTGGCAGCTGTGCACTTCACTGATAGTTACGACCAATACCCCGGAATGAACTACTGTGGCCCTTGCACGGCGCCCATCAGCCGTTCGTCGTCATTGAAACGCTTCAAAACGTATTGGAATCGATGTAGTAAAGCAGTAACCGCCAAGCGCCCAGTGAAGACATTCGAATTCAATGATGTATCACCCCCGCAGTTGTATGTGCTAGAAAATTTGTGTTAGCGCTATTAAAAATGCCTGACTAGGCACATAAAACTCCTCTTTGGCATGGTTGTTTTTCGTTGTGATCTTTGTGCTTTCAATGCCGGTATTTAGCCAAATATTCCATGCAATATACGTACAAGAAATGAATAAGAGATCTAAAAAGGTACTAAACTTCCCGCTAAACACAACTCACCCTGCAAATTCCTCATCTTTGTTTCCGCTGTTTCCTCGTTAGCAAGTGACGCCAATTTGTCTGCATTGTCATGCATAATTTCTTGCAGAGATTTTAGTGCGGCCAGCGAGTCTTCACAATTTTTACTCAAGGCAGCACCATCCACCTTCTCACTGCTTCCCGTACTGGAAAGCGCACGCACATTATCAAGCAACGGAAATAGAACTTGCCAAACGAGCGTCTGTTATGTGGGCTGGTTCAACAAACGACCATGCCAAAAAGAATGCGGCAAAGAGCATTGTGAACCGCACTCGCGGCAGTAACTATGCAATTACCAACTGAAGACACATAGGTATCAGCGGCTCACTGAAATGGTGAAATATGTATACACATTCCTTTGAAAATAATACCAAACAGAACACGCAATTTTACCTATGGGGATCATTTGCCTTCCAACATTTCTCAGGCAGAGAAGCGAGTATTATGCCAACAGCATTGATGTAGTTTTGTATCTCTTTTTGTGGTATCCATGAATAACCCTTCACAACAGCACCGGCACTCACAAATTCAATTGTTGTTTATTGGTTTAAAGCGAAACGCCCGGACAGTGTAAGGGCGCTGTTGGGTTGGTTGTTTTGTAATAGATTTAGGAACATTTTCAGCAATATAGGCTGTATTGATGCTTGGAAACAGAGGGCAACAATTGCTCTATAAGAGTTAATGAAAATGTAAACAATTATGAAATATGGGTTTGCTTTAGGGTTGTGCGATTATTCGATTACTCGAGCAAGTTGGTTAATCATTTGTTCGATTAACATATTATATTTAAAGTATGATAATGATTAATACGATATTAATTAAGGTTTTGAATAATCAATTAATTGCACAGCCCTAGCTTGCTTCTTCCGAATAGCTTACGCAAGAATCCTTTTAATGTCCACCGGTTCGATTTCGTATGAACGAGCAATCGTGCATACATTGCTACTAAAGCCGGCGCAGGTGTGGAACTTTTTCATTGAGGTATAAAAATCAATAAATTTAGCTGGTTAGTTCGCAGTTTTAGCGGTGCCATTTAACGGCTCGCCAAGTATGTTCATTGGACGTGAAAAATAAATACTGTTGATTTGTTGAATATGTATTACATATAATGCAAAAAGCGTTGCCCATTTTATTGTGCAGAGGAAGATGATAAAAAAACGGGTGACAAATAAAGGCGTTAGTTAACGTGGATTGAACAAATCTAGAAAATAAAGGCAGTCATTCGTGATAAAAGCGAACTCAAGTAAAATAACTAAGTTGATATAATTTGCTATAATGGTACTTACTTGCGTCTCTTGGTGGATGGCTGGCCTACTATCGAGACGATCGTTGACGGCATATATTAAGTTATACGAATATTTAAAAAAAATTTGCTATAATTCGTTGCTGAACACGTTTTGCTACTGAAGAAGGTGCTGCGGAATCGTCATTAGTGCTTAGTATTTCGTTATCATAAACAACCCGATCGTCAAAAGCGGTTGTTTGATCGCCCAAACGAACGTTATGCAATGTTGCGCACGCGTTAACTACTCGGCCAGCAAAGCCGGGGTCATACAAAAGTACTCTTTGCCGTGATAAGCACCGCCATGTGCCTTTAAGGACGCCAAAGAGTCTCTCGATCGGGTTACGTGCTTTACATAGCGCCTCGTTGTAGCGAAACTTTGGTGTTCCTTCTGGCTCGTTTGGTAAAGGTGTCATCAGCCATGGCTCCAGCGGGTATCCAGAATCGCCTGAAATTTTTTTCTTTTAATATTTCTATTCGTATGGAATTAAAACAACTTACCTATCAAAAACGTGTTGTGATTTCCAGTTTCAAATGATCGCTGCATGACCCGACGCGCTGCAGAGAAGCTCCAAATAAACGAATCATGTCGTGCTCCCGGAAATTTTGCATTCACGTTTAAGATCTTAAGATTTGGATCACATATCTATAAGTTTGAACCATTATAAAATAACAATATAAATTTTCATGTTGTACATTTGTTCTTACCATTTGCACGTTCATCGAATGGTACCCATGGTGATTGACATAATTTGATTCATTATTTTTGGGAGCCAAAATTGCAACATGGGTGCAGTCGATTGCACCGATAGTTCCTGCTACAAATGGTGAAGGTGCAGACGCAAAAATTTCCTTTGCCGCTTGGCACTCCAGTTGCGTCATAGGGAACTTCACTTTGGAGGTAAACATTGAATTGTTGATTGCGTCAGTCACCCGGTGTATGCAACGGCTTATCGATGTTTGGCTCATGGATATGCCCCACTGTTCACCTACTGGGCGTTGATAGCATCCAGTGGCATAAAACCGTAGAGCAGCTAGAACCTTCAACGAGTACATAAACACATGCTTATACAAGATGCTTTCTAGCGGTAATAGCAATTGTACGTTTCACAGAAAAAGCTGTTCCACGTCACATAAGGTTTATTAAAGTTAAAAGCAGCTTTTTCTGTAAATCCTTGAAACCTTCAGACCCTGCAATTCGTACTACTGCTGGAACGCACCTATAATATTTAATAAAGTTGAAATACATGTATATTGACTTACCTGCTTTTCAGTCGATAACGCTGTTATTCGCGATCCTCTTAATTGATTGTCAAGTTGAGACACCAAATTTTCAACCATGCCGGGACTGAGTCTATATAGCCTCCGGAACTCCGTTAACGTTAGTTCGAAAGGGTTATCGATTTCGCGAAGCCTACGCCGGTCAATTCTTGGCACGTTTAATGGCTGCTCATTATCGGTATCATATAAATATGATGCAATGTATGCAAATGCCATTTTTTAACACAATCTTCACAATTTTCTCAATTTAACTTCACAGCAAAATTAGTAAACAACAGCTTAACAAAGAAAAACTAGATGCTGTTAGCTTAACCACAAAAATAATTGTCACCAAACAGCTGACTGCGTTTGTTAACACTAAACAATAACAAATATATATAAATTTATTAAGTTTACAACATTTTTATGTTGTCTTTCTATGAAAAAACAATTACATGTATCAGGTCCTGATTCAGTATCATTATTACTCCAAGGACAGATCGTAAAATGTTATCCATATATAGATTTTATCCAAGACCCATTTTCCATCTGTTCCGTTAATATACATCCATTTTGTATAATGTTTCTATGATGATCTAATATATATTTAAAATTCCTTTCCAGAAATCCTTTAATTTCATCACTCTTCATATTGTGTTTGATTGTAGTATCTAGTTTAACCGTTATCTGTTTAATAGAACAGCCCTGTTTAGCAGTTAGCTGTTTAATAGAACAGCCCTGTTTAGCAGTTAGCTGTTTAATAGAACAGCCTTGTTAAGCAGTTAGCTGGTTAATAGAATAATATACATAGTTTATTATTTTATAAGTGATCACTTTCAATATAAATGATATAAAAGCCGAGTAAATATCTAATGTTTCTTACATGCACTATTTTGGTTAATTCTCATATCTAAAAACTTCCTTTTTTCCCATACATTTTCGACTCTGATACAATTTTTCATACAACTAATAATTATACAAAACCTCATTTAAAATACAGTTTGTATTAAATTTATCAACTTATACAATGTTCATTAATTTTCATACAAGTACTAATTTTATTAACTCACATAATTTCCAGATTTTCATACAAGTAATAATTTTCATACAAGTATTAAATAAATAATTGTTTATTAATTCACATAAGTTCTAAATTTTCATAGATATTCTCAATGTACAAAAAAAGTCAAGTAAATATGTAATGTTTCTTGCATGCATTATTTTGATGAAATTTTATATCTATTAATTTCATATATTTTTTTTTTCATATGTTTATTTTGGGTTCTACTAAAATTTTTTCACACAACTAATAGCCTTTTTAACTCATAGAAGTTGTGAGTTTTCATATTAGTATAAAATTTATTACCTCATACAAGTTATAATTTTTCATACAAGTATTAAATTTAGGAACTCATATGAGTTCATTCGTTTTCATACAAGTAATTATCTTATTAACTCATACAAGCTATAATTTTTCATACAAGAAATAACTTTATTAATTCATAAATACTATATATTTTCAAAAAACTATATATTTTCATATAAGTATTAAATTGATGAACTCATATAAGTTCATCAGTTTTCATACAAGTAATATCTATATTAACTCATGAAAGTTATAATATTCGATGTAAGTAATTGCTTTATTAATTCATGTAAGTTAGTTTCATTAGTTTTCATATGCCTAATTGTTTCTTAATTAAGTTTCAAATTTTCATAGATTTTGTCAATGTACAAAAAAAGTCGTGTAAATATGTAAAGTTTGCATGCATTATTTTGATGAAAATTCATATTTTTCCCATACATTTTCGACTCTGTTACAATTTTTTCATATAAGCAATAACCTTTTTAAATCATAGAAGTTATGAGTTTTCAATAATTTTTCATATAAGTAATAACTTCATTAGCTCATAGAAATTATAGATTTTCATATAAGTATTAAATTGATGAACCCATATAATTTCATTAATTTTCATATATGTTCATCAGTTTTCATATAAGTAATTGCCTTATTAACTAATACAAGTTATAATTTTTCATATAAGTAATAACTTTATTAAGTCATAGAAATGATAGATTTTCATACAAGTATTAAATTGATGAACTCATATAATTTCATTAATTTTCATATAAGTTCATCAGTTTTCATATAACTAATAACTTTATTAACTCATAGAAATTATAGATTTTCACCTATATCAAAATATGAGTTTTCATAAAAAGTGGACTTAACAACGTTTTTCAGTAAGCCAAGCATTTTTAAGCATTTTTAACCGACTTCCAAAAAAGGAGGAGGTTATCAGTTCGTCGGAATATTTTTTTTTTTGTTTATGTATGTTACCGCATAACTTTGGACCACGTCAACCGATTTCAATAATTCTTTTTGCAGCAGAAAGGTATTGCCTCAGAGGTGGTCCCATACTAATTTGGTTTAGATCCGATCATTGGATCATGAAATATATAGATATATATATATTTTTTTTAAGTCGGTTTTTTTTTTGCTAAAAATTACTTGTTTTATATATTTATGTGGGTTCGTTATCGTCCACTTGACATTAATATACTTATTAGATAAACAGTTATGATGAAATCAGGATCAAGGCTATTCTTATATTAATAAATAGATGAATAGGCTAATATATTAATGTTTTAAAAAATCACACCACAACTTGGGACTTATCAGAGAAATTAAATATATATGTATAGCATAGTATTTTTTGTTTGACTATTTTTAAATTCTTTTTAAATTGTCATTGATTTATTAAATGTGATTGACGTTTTGAAAGCCAGCCAATTTTGGAATTCTTATGCTTATTAGAGAAATGAAAATATAGTATATAAACTTATCTCTTTATTAAGATGAATTCCCATTTATCAAAGAAATTTGCTGTGAATAAGGTCCATTTTTGTGAAAGGTTTTAAGTAAATTATATAAACATATATAGATAAAACAAAGGACGAAGGTAAGCTTTTACTAAAAAGATCTAATAATAATAGAAAAAATGTTTTCTAATTTTAAAATATATATACATATATATATATACAGGCATGTTCTGTAAATCGAACGATTTGAAATCGATATGATTTGCTAAATATTGATCGTTATTTCTGATGAAAAGATTGAATATTTTATATAAAAAATATAACAGAAACATCAGCGATGTTATATCATCCATACCAATACCAAACTGTGAGTTGTATGATTAAAAATCCATAAAAATGTTTCTAAAATCGTATCGATTTCAAATCGAACGAATTTCAGAATATACCTGATATTCTAATTTTTATATACATACGTTTATAGACTGCATTTTATATAAATGGAGAACCTATGGAATGGAATATCTACTGAAGGTGTGGAATCGCGTGACCTACAGGTGTTTTGTGACGAGATACCTACAAATCCTCTTCCTGAAGTAGAATATTATTGGACAGGAAAAAAAAAATCTTATAGTATATTATGGACATCAATATTTTAAAATAAAACCCCGTGTGGTACGGGAAAACCCAAATTTATTAAGACAATTAAAATTAAAAAAATAAATATAATGAGGTTTTTTATTGATTTGAGTCAAAATGAATTTGAAGATACAGAGTTTTCTCTAAAACTACCTAATAATGATACTATAAACATAAAACTGAACTTTAAACTAATGAAATGGACTCAAAGTATTCAAAATGGATTAAAAGAGGACGTAAATAAAACATCTATCCCTGAAACAACATCAGAAGCACCTACATCTAATCCGAAAAAGTTATTCACAACACAGGAAGCCATAGAAGCATTTAGACAAGATCTAATATAAAAAGAGAAAACAAAAATTTTTAGGAATAATTGAGATATGAGGATAATATTATGCTAAGAATTCGTTGTATAGAATATAATAGTGATTTCCCTCAACGCAAACTGAATATTTCTTGTTTTAAGTATCGTCAGGTTGCATTCGAGAAAATTTTAAGTAACGGTGAAATTGAAATTGTTACTGGAGATGATACTACACTACGCTCAGATGTCACATTAATTGATATTAAAAGTTATAAACATGATATGAATATGGAAATTTCTTAACTTTTAATAGAATGAGATGGATTTATTATATAAATATGACATATAAAAAGAATGTAAATGTAGTATATAAAAATATTAATTTGATATTTGGTTTTCATTATTCAGCGGAGTGTAATCGATTAGTTAATAAAATTGGTGGCTCTAATATATACTTATGTTTGCAATTATTTAAATAGGATTTCATTAGATTCTATATAATGTCAGAGGAATATACGTTGGTTATAGATGTTCAGGGATTCTATTCTATTCTAATCGGAAATTTATTGCTAAAGAAGTCAGCATATCAACATATGATTCATATATAACAACGTTTCTTATTCAACCTCCTTTTGAAGAATCTAAGTTGACGATACGGGATAAAACAACTAATAACTGGTTATATCATAATCATCATGGATTAAAATGGAAGATGGTGATTCGACTTTAATGGCTGTTATTGAATATATCCATTCATTAATGAAAAGAAAAAATTATATATTCTATGCTAAGGGATTGGAGAAAATCAGATGGATTCAACGTTTATTCGGACGCGATATTATTTTATATAATTTAGATGATTTAAATTGTCCAAATTTAAAGAATTTATATATTAAAAATATAAATATAAATACTTGTAAATATCATGAAAATTCTATATGTGCTGAAAAAATTTAATAATATTAAGAAAATTTATTTCTTCATTAAATATGTAATAATAAATAAAAATAAATAATTAATTATAAAACTTAATTTTATTTCAAATTAAATTTCTTTTGTTCTCATCATCAACATCAGCAGACCTTTCCATTCATATGTGAAGGTTTAAAAGATTTCGTATTATTTTTGAATTTGTTAGACATTCGGTGACTCTTTTGAATTTAATAAATTTGTCTTTCAATGAATATAAACGTGAAAAACAAGTATCCTAATCTTTTTTTGAAACGATGTATTATTAATATCTCCTGCTTTCTATATCAAAATATGAGTTTTCATAAGAAGTATGCTTAACAACTTTTCTCACTAAGTCAGCAATATATGAATGAATGAATAATGCTAGATGAATAAAACATTTAAATATACACATACTTTTATGAGCATTTTTTTTTGTATATGTTTATGTGGGATTCGTTATCGTCCACTTGGCGTTACTATACTTGTTAGGCAAACAATGATGATGAAATCAAGATCAAGGCTATTTATAATATTAGCATTTGATTTGAATCATATAATAAAATTTAAATAGGATAATAAAAAATAAATATATTCTTTGACAGCAACATTGAGTTTAAGA